GCCCTATGGAGTTTTTAGCAATGTTAATACCTGTGTAACTATTACCATCCTCAGAATTTGAACAATCTCTTTCCCCCACATAACCCCTGGGTTATGGAATATTTAATTCCATTGTGTGAAATTAACTGACCATTCTCAACTAATCATCTTAATAGCATTATGAAGTCCCCAAATTAAAATAACCCATGTAGGTATTATTAAGATGTTTAGCTCCAGCTGGTTTGGCTCAGTGGATAGAGCATTGGCCTTCAGACTGAAGGGTCCTGGGTTCGATTCAAGTCAAGGGCACACACACACACACACACACACAAAAGACATTTCGGGTTGCAATAGCAGTCAAGACTCTGTCCCTGGAGTGAGTGGTAAGGAACCCTCTAAGAGAAGTGCCTGAAAGTGTCTATTTCTGCACATTAGGACTGTGAGACATACTGAGATTCAACCTCTGGCCTGCGGGGTGAGAGGTAAGAGGAAGCCAAGACAAGGCTGGATGGAATAGGAATGGAATTGGTAGTAGTTACAGAGTTGACCCTCAAGACAGAAGACAAGTCTAAATTGTGAGGTTCAAGGACTTAGGCTGAATATGTGTCAAGTGTGACTTGTATTTAACATAATGGCACTGATAGGTAAGGGTCTGACTTGGGTGACACAATGAAGATACTCATCCTAGGCAGAGGCAGCGTCTTGATTTGATGGAAATGGGGAGGATGAGGAGGGAGGAAGTGGGCGGGAAGACCTCTTTTCAGATGACCCAAGTGTCACTGGAATTCTTGCATCATTGGCATTTTCTCAAGCATCTATATATATATAAAAAGCCAGAGACTGTAATGCTGTAATGACCGGAACCATAACGACCAGAATGACCAGTTGCCATGACGCCCACTGTGGCCAGTGAACTGGCCTGATCAGGGGGTGGAGCCAGCTGGCCAACCTCCTGTGGCCCCTCCCCCTGGCAAGCCCCACCCCCAATGGGCCCCCACAACCCTGATCTGCCTGCAGCCCCTCCTCCTGGCTGGCCCCGCCCCTGATTGCCCCCCACCCCAGTAGAGGGTGGGGCCAGCTGGCCAACTTCCTGCAGCCCCTCCCCTCACCTGGCCCCACCCCAGAACAGCCCCCCCACCCCAATCAGGGGCAGGGTCAGCTGGCCAACCACCCACAGCCCTTCCCCATGGCCAAGCCCACCCCCAATCGGCTCCCCAACCCCAGTTGGAGGTGGGGCCTGCTGGCCAATCACCCACCATCTCCTCCTCCTGACAGGCCTAGCCTGGATCCACCCTGATTGGGGCCGGGCCGGCCAGACCCCACCCATGCACAAATTTGTGCACTGGGCCTCTAGTTGGTAATAACTGAGATGTCAAGTGATGTCATTCTGATTTAAAGTGGTAGGCTCTATAACTGTCAATCTCTGCTGCAGACTCCATTTTCTTCTTCTGTTAAGGTAAGTCTCTTTGCTTATTTAAAGAGTAATCCTATATAATAAGGAGGGAATATGCAAATTGACCATCACTCCACCACAAAGATGGCATTGCTCACAGTGGAGGCAGTGGTGGTGGAGGGGTTCCGTAACACAAGATGGTTGCACCCACAGTGGAGGCTGAGTTCCCGTAACGAGCCTTAATGAGCAATCAGTAGGGACCTGAGGCTGTGCCCCCAACCTCCCCATGGGGTTTGACAGGGGACCTCAGGCTGCACCCGCCCCAGTGGGGCCTGACGGGGGACCTCAGGACACGGCCCCCCGCCCCAGCACTGCGCCAGGGGATCTGAGGCCACAACCCTGCCCCGGCACCAGGCTGGAAGACCTGAGGCCACACCCCCACCTGGTGAGGCTTGACAGGGGACCTCAGGCAATGCCCCCCGCCTGGCAGGGATTGACGTGGGACCTCAAGGTGTGCCCCCCGCCCAGTAGGGCTTGACGGGTGACCTTAGGCCATGCCACCTGCCCGGTGGGGCTTGACAGGGGACCTCAGGCTGCGCCCCCCACCTGGCGGGGATTGACGGGGGCCCTCAAGGTGTGCCTCCTACCCCAGTGCTGGGCTGGGGGACCTCAGGCCATGCCCCCCACCCAGTGGGGCTTGATGGGGGACCTCAGGATGTGCCCCTACCCTGGTATCGGGCTGGGCGACCTGAGGCCATGCCCCTTGCCTGGTGGGGCTTGACAGGGGACCTCAGGCTGCACCCCCCACCCGGCGGGGATTGATGGGGGCCCTCAAGGTGTGCCTCCTACCCCGGTGCTGGGCCGGGGGACCTCAGGCCATGCCCCCCCACCCAGTGGGGCTTGATGAGGGACCTGAGGCTGCACCCTGCTCCCGGAGGGGATTGATGGGGGACCTGAGGCTGAGCCCCCCCTCCCAGTGCCAGGCTGGGGGACCTATGGTTGCACCCCTCACCCGGTGGGGCTTGACAGGGGATCTCAGGCCACATTCCCCACCCTGGCACCGGACCAGGGGACCTCAGGCCATGTCCCCCGCCTGGCGCAGCTTCACGGGGGACCTGAGGCTGTGACCCCGCCCGGCAGGGCTTTACAAGGTCTGGATCTAGCCCAATGGTGGTGGGGCTGGCCAGGTTTGGGTCTCTCATGATTTCGAGGTGCATGTAAGTGGGTGGGGACTTGACTCTGGGTCCCATGGTACGCCCCAGACTCTGACAGGAGGAAGATTTTCATATACATTTTCCTAATTTTCTTTCATCTCTGACTCTTCTATTATAGAGAAAGGGCAAATAGCAATATTAAAGTATTTCCTCTAATTAATCCCCTTTTAATGTGCACAAATTTCATGCACTGGGCCACTAGTAAAAAATAACGATCCCTTACATTAGTATAGCACAGTGGTTGGCAAACTCATTAGTCAACAGAGCCAAATATCAACAGTACAATGATTGAAATTTCTTTTGAGAGCCAAATTTTTTAAACTTAAACTATATAGGTATTTGCTGCTTCTTTGTAGCCATGTCAAACAGGGCACCTAAAAAAATGTTTCATTTTATAATAAAGCCACCAACACAAAATAATTACAATTCTTAAGTCGATGACAAAAATACCTGTAGGATTTGCAGCTGGTTGGAAAAACACAGGTAACTTTATGCTTCGAGTAGGTACTTTTGTCACCCGTCCGCCATTTGCGGACACGACTAGCACTAACCACGGCACAATGAGACTGCTGACTGACTGGCTCACTCAACTCGTGCATGAATCGTCCCGCCCACCCCCCACCCCCCCCACCCCCCACCCCTGGCGCTGCGTACTCCGGGGCCGTCTGCGCTGGGTCAGCAGACCTGCTGACACCCCCCACTTCTTTCTAGCACCACTTCTTCAAAATAGACTCGCTCAGGCCGAAAACCGACTTCTGCGCATGGGCCACGAAGTTTCAATCGCACTGTACACGCGCGCCCGCACATGGTATTTTGTGGAAGAGCCACACTCAAGGGGCCAAAGAGCCGCATATGGCTCGTGAGCCGCGGTTTGCCGACCACTGGTATAGCACATTCTAATTTACAGAGTGCTTTCACATCATATCTTATTTGATCTCCCAAATTCTGTGAGGGAGGCAGAGCAGGTATTTTATCTCATCCTTTGGACTACTGGTTCTCAAAGTATGGTCCCAGGCTCTGCAGCGTTAGTATCACGTAGGAACTTGTTAGACTGTGAATCCTGGACCCTCCCCAGAGCTACTGAATCAAGTCTTCAAGGGGGGGGATCATTTGCATTTCTAACAAGTTTCCAAGTGATGCTGATGTTGGTGCTGCTGGTCCTGGACCACACTTGGATGAAAACCACTGCTATACATTAAAATGAAAGATCTAGAAGCCCAGGGACTTACCTTAAGAGGACTCCTATCTAGGTGCTCTTTCTATACCTGCTGCATCCCTGGCCCACACCCCATCCTTTCAATTCCAGCTCTATTGCTTATGAGTTTGAGGCCCTGAGCAATTACTCTAAATTGCAATTTCTTCACCTGTAAAATGGGGATAATAGGATCAACTCCTTTGGGTTCTTATGAAGATTAAACAAGATCTAGGTAAAGTACTTAGCGCTGTGCCTGTGCTTAAAAATGCTAGCAATTACCACGACTTTTATTAATATTATTAAAAGTGCAATATTTCACAAGAATGAATACCTTCATAAGTTTTTTTGAGTGTATGTCCCTCTTAAAATAGGGGGGTATTCCTGACTGATTCAGACATTGTCACTTCCTCTTTAACACCCCATCTGGGATGTTTGTGTGATTGCCATGAGCATTTGCTGAGAGCTGGGTGCTTAGGAGGTGGAGCAGAGGAAATGAGCATGTGGAACAATGTATGGAAGGGCAAACAACAGCAACTTTACTGAGGAGAGAATAGGGGACCAGGGGGAGTATGGCTGAGGGAGGAAGCAATTGGAGAAAGCAGTCAGGGGTAAAAGGCAAGTTATTGAAAAACAATTTACCTCCTTCAGAGTCGCCCCCTCACCGCCCCCCCAGCAAGGGCTAGGCTCCAGGAGGCGAAGCCAGGCCTCAGGGGATCTGTCCTGCTCTTGTTGCAGTCAAGGGGTGAACACTCAGGTGCTCACAATAAATGCCCTGAGAAGCCATCCGGGGATAGCAGACAATTGCGGGCACAGGGAGTTTGGGCTCAAAAGTGGCTTTGTCTTCAAAGTGACTCCTGTTGGGCAAATTTCTGACTGGACCACGTCAAACGCGCCAGGGACATGGTTCTTTTTTAGCAGAGGTCTACAGTGTTCTTTCTTGGGGCATCCTGTCCCCGCCTCCGGAAGCGTTTTTTATCTTATCTGGGTAATGCAGCCCGGGTCCCTTTCCCCAGTGGACTGAGACCTTTGCAACTGAATTAAAGAAAAGAAACAAAAGCGGCAAGTTCGGCCCCGTGGGCACGGCAGGCCACCAATGGGCGCGGCCGCTCCCTAGCGGAGTGGTACTATGATGACAGTAGCCAATCAGCGCGCTCCATGCAAATAGGGTACTGTATCCCGCACCGCAGCTCCAGTGCCATCTGCTTGTTCTAGTGATAAACTGAGGCCTTGCCTCTCGGCTTCTCCCAGAACGAAAGGGGCGGGGGTGGGGGGTAACCTCTTTACTCCCCCCAGGATAGACAGAAAGAAGTGATGAAGAAGGGGGATGGGTAAGGAAGAGAAAAATACCTGAGAAAGAAAACATTCTCTGCCTGGGAGGAGACTGACGGGGTGTAGAGCTTGGAGGGAGCATTCACTGGCCATGCCAGTACTTACCACTGATGCTGAGTCAGAAACAGGTATCCCAAAATCCCTTTCCAATGAGCCTCCCTCAGAAACCATGGAGGAAATAGAGCACACATGCCCACAGCCTCGACTGGTAAGTAAAGACAAAGGATGCAAATGTATGCGTGGCTATGGCACAAAAGAATTCCTTATGCGCCTGCAGCCAGCGAGGAAAAAGATGCTGAGGATTTTCATGTAAATGAGAATGGAGCTACCGCCTAATCCTTCTCAGCTGTTTATATTTAGCTTCTCTACCCGGCGCTGCTCTCCGCTTACAAAGCATTTTTGTACCGGCTGGGTAGGAAATGGGCTGCTTGGGCTCTGCTGTGTTTTTGTGCTTGGGAGGAGGGAATGGCCTTTTTCCTTTTAAGTGTGTTCTCGTCTGAAGATAAAAAAAAAAAAAAGCCACAGTGCAATTTACAAAATGGTATTCTTTTCGCAAAGCTTGGGACGAGTCCGTTAAGTTCTCAGTCCTAGGTAAGGAATGATTCGGTCTTCAACTAATGTTGGTGCCTAATGCCAGTTTGGTAAAAATGAAAACGACATGGAAGCAAACTTCCCCATTTGCTTGAAAATGTCAAAATAACTGAGCAAAAGAGTCCCTCGATGATGTATTTAGAAATAACGTGTATCTTAAATGAATTGCAAGCATTTCCGGGTCTGCTGTCAGGGTTTCTCTTCAGGTATGGGAGCCTGGGGGAGCTGCATTTACTTAGCAAGGGGCTGCATGCCTTTAATAAGTGCAAATGGAGCACTTAGCGCTTCCTTCCTTCTCATTAACTGAATCAAAAACAACAAATGGGTAGCGGGTTTTCGGTGGCCTGGAGTCTTGTGGAACTTGGGGAGACCTCTCTTTGAACCCTCAGATCCAAGCCATACACTGTTTAGGGCTATATTTTCTCTCTAGCATTTCCCTCAAGTTAAAGGGTGCAATATTTTGATTGGCTGTGGAGTTTGACCCTGGGAAGAGGTGTTTTTTTTTTATTGTTTTTTAAGGATTTTGTGATGTAGTATTTTCCGTGAACTACCCCAATGAGGGCTCACAGATTCCAAAGCCAGCCCATCATGAAACTGTTATTTCTTCATAAGGGTTCATAAGGATTCAAAGGCAGGCTTAGGACAACTTCCTAATGCATGAAAACAAAGGAAGTTATATAGAGCCCCGTGGGCTTTTGTTCACTGTGCTTCTGTTTTTTCAAAAATATATTTTGTTAAGGCAATTTGATATTAACTGCTCCCCAGCACTTTCAGCCACTTATTGAATGTCATACATAAACGTTTTACCTATGTTCTCAAAAGATACAAACCATCCCAATAAGGACTTCCTTTGGGCTACTAAATATCTCATGTTTTAGCATAGAAAAAACTGACCACTAAAAACGTGTCACCCAAAATGTTTTTAAAAGTTAAACCCAATGTTCCAATTTGCATCAGACTTGCTGACAGGTAGGTAAAGGGTAGGCGAGAGAAAGGCGGCATCCAGTTCCAGTTTGTGTATGGGTTGAGTCTCTTGTGCCAACTTCTTTTCCTTCCCTTTTTGCCTTTTAGCGATTCTTTCCCTTGCTTGCTTCTGCCTGTGAGGGTGGGCAGAGGAAATCAAGGGAAGGAAGCAAGTTCAAGTACTTTTCACTTTCACTTGTAACAGCTCAGCCTGGAGTTAACTCTCAAGAATCATGCAAAGCTGGCAATGTTATACTTCCATCTCCCTGCTGCTTTAGAAATGAGGAAACTGAGGTTCAGAGAGGGTAAGTGACTTCCCCAAAGTCACATTGCTTCAAAGGGGTAGATCTGGGATTTGAACCCAGAGCTCTACCCCTGCAAAGTGGAAGATCCCCCCCCTCGCCCCCCGCAACATACTCTTAGGTGAGAAACATCCCCTTCCCATCTTTTTGGCAGTTCTGGCTTAAAGTGTGTGTGTGTGTGTGTGTGTGTGTGTGTGTGTGTGTGTGTGTGTGAAGAATATCCAACAGTTCCACTGTTAAAGTGACTGCTTTGTTCTGTGTTTTTTTTTTAATCCTCACCCGAGTATATTTGTCCATTGATTTTTAGAGAGAATGGAAGAGAGAGAGAGAGGGAAAGACAAAGAAATATTGATGTGAGAGAAACACATCAATTGGTTGCCTCTTGCACAAGCCCCTACTAGGGCCCTGGCCGGGGAGGAGCCTGCAACCGAGGTACGGGCCCTTGACCGGATTCAAACCAGGGACCCTTTGGTCTGCAGGCCGATGCTCTGTCCACTGACCCAAACCAGCTAGGGCTGCTTTGTTCTACTTTTGATAAAAATGTTCTATGTTGTCCATCATTATCATGATCTGCTGAAAACGGGCTCTGTTTAAATAGGGACTGCAACCAACTTGTAAACCACTGCACTCAATTCTTCGAAGCGCCTTTTCTCTGATCAGCAAACTTTGATCCCTGTAGGGGTATATAAATTTTGATTTACACTTCAGAGCCCAACTTTCCTTTGCTAAGAATTTTACTTTAAGGATGCAGGCACGTGTGAACTACTTAATAACAAAGTTTGCTCCTGAAGAGAATGAATGGCAAGTGAAAATGCTAAACTTGCATTTCTCTGGAAGGTTTTAGTAGTTTCTGTTGATCTTTAGCTTTGCTGATATCTTCACATTTCAAATTATATAAATTCTGTGTTTTTCCCAGCACCCAAGCACATTTGTCCAAAATTACAATGGACCCCTGCCGCCACAGTGGCGGCAAGGTGTGGCTGCTGCGTAGCTTTGGAAAGTGCATGAAAGACTTGAGAGATTCGCCTGCAGAAGACAGTCTCCTTCTCCCACTTGTCACCAAACTTGAATTCATACCGTTTAGAGAAAACAGGACTCAATAATAAAACATTTTTTTTAAAGTAGCAATTATGAAAGTAGTTGTCATGTGCTTTTTTTTTAAACTTTTTTTTGGTTAATCTTCACCCAAAGACATTTTTTTTCCATTGGTTTTTAGAGAGAGTGGAAGGGAATGGGAGACACACACAGAGAGGAACTTCGATGTGAGAGAGGCACATCGATTGGTTGCCTCCTGCACGGGCCCTGACCAGGGCCAGGGATCGAGCCTGCAACCAAGGCATGTGTCTTTGACCAGAATCAAACCCGGGGCCTTTCAGTTCTCCGGCCGATGCTCTATCCACTGAGCCAAACTGGCTAGGGCAGAGTGGTTGTCATTGTATTAGCTGATGCACACACTGGCTCCCCAAACTCTAATTTTACTTGGGAATAATGGAAAAGGAAATTTCTGAGTATATAAGGGCTATAAAGCTTTACTACAAGTTCCAGAATGTGAACTTAGGTCACCAAACGTTATTGTCTGTAAATACAGATTTTATTTAAATCTCAACAATTTGCCCCTAACTGGTTTGGCTCAGTGGATAGAGCATTGGCCTGCGGACTGAAAGGTCCCAGGTTCGATTACGGCCAGGGGCATGTACCTTGGTTGCAGGCACATCCCCAGTGGGGGGTGTGCAGGAGGCAGCTGATCGATGTTCCTCTCTCATTGATGTTTCTAACTCTCTATCTGTCTCCCTTCCTCTCTGTAAAAATATCAATAAAATATATATTTAAAAAATAAAATAAATCTCAGCAATTGTGTAAAATGCCTTTTTTTTGGTCATGAATTGGGCTCTCTATTTAGCATGGCACTAGAGAAGGTGTGTACAGTGTTCGTGTCTACGTGTGTTTGCCTCTATATTATTTACAGTGAAGGTTGTCTTTTGTGATCCAGTTGAACTCAGCCCTCATTGATTGAGCCCCCACTACATGCTAAGCTCTGAATCCTCAAGTACTTTGTGATCTAGAGATTCGAGAAGAGACTGAAACATAAACAGATAGTTTCCATACAGGTTGATAAGGGCACAGCGTGCTAAGAGTTGTGTTACCGGGTGCAGTGGGGACAGAAAGGAGAGTAGTGAACTCCTTCAGAGCGAGTCAAAGTTTGCCAGAGGGATGTTGACTAGAAACCTGTCTTGTCATCACTGTATCTCTGGTCTCTAATACACAGCCTGGCATAGTTCTTTAAGGAAATGCAACAGGAAGTTGGCTTACCTAAATAGGATTTTAAAGCAATCTATATTTTAGATCCTTGTAAGAAGCAAATTGATAGGGATATTGAGGATACGGTGGAATCGTGTTCAAGGGGAAATTTTTTTTTCTGAAAGGTATACCTGTAGTCTTTCCACCCTGCCTTATTTTTCGTTGGGAAAAAGCATAAGAAAGGAGAGGAGTAAGTAGAATTAAATAACACTGATAAAGAAATTAGGCACAGACAACAGTGTGGTTGGTGATGGCCAGAAGGAAGGGAGGAGGCAGGGTAGAGGCAGGCAAAGGGGTGGGGGGAATGGGGACATCTGTAATAGTGTCAACAATAAGAATAAAGAAAAAATAATAATATTTTAAAAATATTAACAAGAAATTAAGAAAGAACAGAACATGACCTAGGCTTTAAGATAGAGCTTATATTTTAGGAATGTAATCTTACTGCACTGGCTACTTTACTATGCTGCATGGGTTTGAGATGTTTCTTCTTTCCATTACTACAGTGTTTATTCTTGATCTTTGATTCGATTTCTGTTATTTGTTATTTTCTTGCTTGAACATGATGCAAGGTGACTCAAAACTTTGACTGTCAAGAAGAGACACTGAGTAGCCTCGGGCGATATGATGTAACAGCCCTCCTTGTAGACCCAACTCCTGAGGGATGAGGACTCCCTGTGGGCAAGGACTGTGTCCTCTTATGTCCTCAACCTTCAGATTTTGCCTAGACAAATCCTGTGGGCCCAGCAGGTGTTCCACTAACCCTTTCTAACAAGGCCCAGCCACCCTGAAAGCTGTCTGCTGAAGGATTTGGTTAACAACCTTGCTCAAGTTCTTGTAGGAGTACATTCTGCTATCAGAAGGAAGTTGTAATTCTAGCCTGCAGTAGTCACTTCCATGAAGATGGATGTGCCACGAATCAACTGAGAAGGCCTGGGAAATAAAATTGGGCTGGTTCAATATGCCACTTTAGCAGGAGTTCATTTCAGGCTTTACTTCAAAGGGGAGCAGGGCCAAAAGACTGCTGTCTTGCAGAAGGTGCATTATGTCAGCT